CACTGTCTCGGTTGAACTAGTCCATCAAGTCTATGAAGTCTGGGCGCACTTGCAACCCATTTTTAAAGATTCTTCAAACTTGTACCCTTTAACTAAAACTATTCACATTTTTACAGACAGCCCATCCTCCCAATATAGAAATCGGTCTAATATACACCTGTTAAAAACTCTTCCTCTGCTATAAGTATTTTCCTCTGCTACAAGAAACAACATGGAATTTATCTGAGCCAGGCCATGGGAAGGGACCCATGGATGGCATTGGCGGTACGCTTAAAAGAAGAGCAGATGAACATGTACTTCATGGGAACGACATCTCTTCTGCTACAGATTTTGTCAAGTCTTTTGAAAACAGTAAAATAATGGTAGTTGGAGTTGAGATAAAGATTTATTTGAGGCTATGAAGAAAAAGATTCAAGCTGATATCCAGCCGGTGTCAAAAATTATGCAAATCAGGCAAATAACCTACAATAAATTGGAAGGATTCATGGATGGACGATCACCATCTTGCTTTCAATGTCCAACTGACCAAATTTGTCCTCACTATTCTGTTACTAAGTCTAATATACTGTTCAATAGTGACAAAAAATCCAAGAAATTTAGAAGAGAACACACAATAAAAGCAAAAAAAGGTCACTTCAAAAAGAGGTAGGAAAACGAAACCCAGCTCCAGTGATGATAATGACCAAGACGAGTTTTCGCCGAGAGATTCTGATTCTGACTTAATTTTGAGCGTGTTAACTGATGAAGAGTTTGAGACAGGTGCAGTTTCAGAAGAAACCAATAAGCCAAAGAAAACATCATTGGAAATGGAAGATATTCAACCAGAAACGTTTTTTAATGTTGATTAGCAGTATCTTTTAAAGAAAATACTAAGAAAGAAATAAAAAAAACAATTCTACACTACTGTTCATGATAAAGACATAAAAAAGGGATAGTAAGTTAGTAAGTTAGTTACTACAGAATGGGTTTGACTTTTCAAAATTTGAAAATGTAGAATAGATGTTTTTTATAGTTGCTAAACTCCCTGCCTCTTTAGGCCTAGGTATCTAGTGGAGGTACTGAGCAAGTGGCCCTCAAAATGAACTTTGGTTTTGTGAATAATGAACTACAATTCCCTCCATTTCTTCATCTTTTTGTTGGTCATTGAAGTTGGTTGCTAAAATACATGAATTGTTAAGTGTCTGTACTTTTGGAAGTGTGCACATTATTTCTATCTGAATTCAGGTAAGATATATATTTTTTAACAGCTACACTCATTTTATAGTTAAACAATAACTTTAACTAGCATTAACTTCGTTTCTATGGCAAATAATTGTTTATTTTTTCAGGTTATGTTTTCGGAAATATGGGGTTACTTTACTCCACGTTTTTGTTGGGGTAAAGTAACCCCAATGTTTTTTCCTTGCCTTTTAATTTGTATCGCATTGTTTCAAGGTGCCAAGGACCTATAAAAGTAAACCTGGATCCAGGAAATATTCTGATTATACATCAGAACAGCTAAACGAATCAGAAATGGTGAGATAACTCACCGCCAAGGTGAGTCTCAATACAATATACCAAGGAAAACTATATACAATAAGCTGAAAGGGAAGCAACAAAAAGCACCTGGAAAACCACAGGTATTTTCAATTGAAGAAGAATTATCATTTGTAAATTGTATTACAAAATGTGCAGAATCTGGCTTCCCCTTAGATTCTTTTGATGTACGAATGATTGCCAAGTCGTATCTTGATAGTAAAGGGAGAAAAGGGAGAAAAGTGAAAACGTTCAAAAACAATGTACCATGATCAGAATGGGTTAAATCATTCTTGAAAAGACATCCAACCTTAACTGGAGCTTGATTTGCTGCTAACATAAACAGGAGCAGAGCTGCCATAAATAAGGAAGTTTTAACAGAATACATTGATAATATGAAAGAGGTCACAGAAGGTGTTCCTCCCGGGAACTATGATGAATCCAACCTAACTGATGATCATGAAAAAAAAGGTAATAAGCTTAATCAAACGTGGTTCCAAGTATCCCAAGAGGATCATGAACAGTACTAAAACCAGTATATCTGTTATGTTTTGTGGTCTCCCACCATTTGTAGTATAAAAATCCTTAAATGTGTGGGATACTTGGACACAGAACGGTCCTTTGGGGGCTAGCTATACAAACTCTAAATCAGGTTGGTTTGAGGCTGCTTCCTTTTCTGATTGGTTTGAAACTCTGCTTCTACCACGCCTTAGAAAACTACCTGGGAAGAAAGTGGTCATTGGTGACAATTTGTCAACACATCTGTCGTTGAATGTTCTAAGATTATGTGAAACTCATGACATAAGCTTCGTTTGCCTAGCAGCAAACAGTACCCACCTTAAAAGAGGATGGAGAAAACTTCTGTCAGAGTGGAAAGAGAATGGAGGTTTCTCTTGTGCAACACTCCAGAAACAGGATTTCCCCTTGCTTTTAAAAAAGCTTGTGGAATTCATTGAACCTTCTTCTGCAACAAATCTGATATCTGGCTTCAGGACTTGTGGGATATATCCGATAAACATAGAAGAGCTGTTAAAGAAAATTCCACAAGCACCTGTTAATGTCAGCGACATTGAAGACTTGTTTTTGAAATCCTTGGAGCAAAAACGAAGCCAGTGGACCGAAAAAACTAAGAAGGGGAGAAAGAAGAAATTAAATGTGGCTCCAGGAAAAAGCATCGGGCCTGAGGAATTAGACAAAGAAGATGAAAACATAAGTCCAATGCCTGGAACAAGTGGAACGGCCTCGAAAAAGAATCTTGGAAAGAAGAAGACGGTGAATACGATATTTCCAAAAAGGAAGATGGCTAAAGAAGATGATGAGAGTGACATGGATATTGACTTGAACGAAATGGTAGAGGAATACAAGAGAGAAAAATTAGAAGAAAATAAATTTGAAGAATTTTTAGGGAAAAAAATGGAATTGGACACGCATCTTGTTTTGGAAAAATGTAAAAAAAAGTGGGCGAGTATGTTGTGTTTAAGTACGAAGGTGAGCAATTTCCAGGAAGAATTGTGAAGTTTGATTATTTAGAAGTAACGATCACATCAATGCAGAAATCTCTGAAATCATGGAAATGGCCAGAGCCAGAAGATGCCCATAATTATCCATGGGAGGACGTAGTGGGTAGGATTGAACCACCAAAACTTAAATCAAAATGTGGATTTTATCTTGTGCCCGAACTTGATCGGTTGTGGTTAAATTAACTCAGTTGCCTAGCCTGGAATTATTATTAAATCCCAGCTATGTTGGGTTTTTTATTGAAAAAGACTTATTGTCGTTAAGGACTTCAATTATATAAAAAATATGCTAATCTTTCATTTTTTACCAACTATTTAGAAGTTTTTTTTAACAATAGGACTATTTTATGTTGAAATAAACCTGTAAGTTCATTTTAAACTGTATTTGAGTATTTTATTACCTTAACATGGGGTTACTACACTCCATTCATTGATTCTTATGTGTTTTTAATGTTATTTTTAAGCTGGAGTAAAGTAAGCCCACTTTATGAGTATGAGGTAACTTTACCCCAAAAATAATAAAATATGAAAAATTACCATTAAAATGCATCTGGACTTGTTTTGTGTTTTACTTCTTTTTAACTGTATTAAGTAATTGGCTTTTGGCTTTTACAATATTATAAGACTTAAAACTGGAAAATTCTTGAAAAAGTGCAGAAACCGGAGTTAAGTAAACCCTGCTGACGGTAGGCCTAAAAATAATTATTTTTTGTTTTTTTTAATTCCAAGCCTGATAATTTAAAGAAGTGTTTACGACCGGGTCAAACCTCCCATACTATGGGTCAAGCCTCCCATATACTGGGAATGACCATACTTGCAAGCCTTTTTAATTTTAATTTTTTTAAGGGTGTGTATTAGGCCTAGAGTATTAGGTTTCAGTAACTTAACACGTTCGCTGCTACCGACGTTCCGGAACGTCAAACGGGCCACAGCGCCAGGAGCTAGGAACGTCGCCGTTCATTGATGTTTAACGTGACCATGGATCAGCCAGCTCGTCACGAGTGTTTTATATTTCTTTGCAGCTCGAGGGGACGTACTTTTCTGACAATAAAAAATATAGTTTCCCAAAATTACCACCAGGGTCGTTTAGAACAGGGCTTTGTCCCACCTCTTTCCTGCTAGATAGCGACACTACTTTACCAACTGCAACCTGGGTAGTACTGCTATCTATCAGAATCACTTAGTACTATGTCCAAAGCCAGTTTTATAGCAGAACATTGCCATCCAGTACGACTACTGTTGTTTTTACTGTAATTCAGTGTATCCGCAGCAATGTTTACGCAGCGGCGAGCGTTAATTCAGCTCCTGGCGCCGTCCCGGCATCTAGCGGTCAGCAGCGAACGTGTTAAGGCATCACAAATCCCTCTTGAGTTTGTGATGATTTAGGGATATCTAGGATGGAGTGACCAGTAATTAATTGATCAGGTGCCAGTAATTGATCAATGCCAACTTATTTAGGGGAAAACTAGGGTAATTGTTGGTTTTGGTGAGATTTGTTGGTAAATTATGTTCTATGTTGGTATACCTGATGTTTTGTTAGTTGATGTGGTAAAAAAAAAACACATCAGATGTCCTGTGACATTTTTTTTTAGTCTCCCTCCTTTTTCTGAAGACTGCCTAATAAGGAACTCTGCACATGCCAGGTAAGTGTTTTTTCAAAAATGTTCTGGTTAGAAGTAAAGGTAATATACATTATTTATGCTTAAAATAAGCTGCATTTAACCCTCTTTAAGATGATATCACTGGGAAGACCAGAAATCAAACATTAAGGTATAGATTAAGAAAGATCAATTACTAAAATTTACCATGTGCTTCAGAACAGTAATTGATCAAATTGACCAATCATACACTTTCCTTATGTTGAAGTAATTGATCGGCTTGACCAATCACTTGTTTTTTTAAGTACAAGTAATTAATCACACAAAATTGCTTGTTGCTGGTTTCTAATAAAACATATTTGCTTTCAGAATGAATAGAGGTTGCACAAAGAAACGTAAGGGAGAAGGAGGAGGCACCCCAACAGCCGTCCGACCACAAAAGAAACCGTAATTTCTCTACTCTGAGGAGGCCATGACTGGTGCGCTACAAGCGGTTCGTCAAGGAATCTCATGTAGAGAAGCTGCCAGGCGTTTTGCCTGGTAGTAAGGTCCAAAGGTGATCTTGAGAAGTACCTTTCTCAAGCCTTCAATATAAGGTCAAAGGTAAAGTACCAAAAGGGTGCAGGATGGGGCCAAAACCAGTGCTGTCAGATGAAGAGGAAACCTTATTGGCAAAGTATATAGTTGCTAAAGCCAAGAAAGGATTTCCTCTTCAAAAAAGAACTCTAATTGAAACAGTAAAGAATATTGTTTCTGAAGATTAGCGATAAACACCTTTTGTAAACAATAAGCCTGGGATATCGTGGCTAAGGGGGTTTTTAAAGCGCCACCCACAATTGACTCAGTGCCATGCAGAAGTTATAAACCGGGGAAGAGCTGCAGTCACTGAGGAGAAGATCAGAGGTTGGGGGAAAGGATTAAAAACCATTTTAAGGAGGAAAATGCTTTAGACATCTTGGATGATCCAAAACGAATATATAATGCTGATGAATCTGGATTCAGAACGAACCCGGAAACTGGATAGGTTTTGGGGCCAGTTAATTATGACAATTTTTACATAATCAAAGACGGCTCTGAAAAGGAGAGTATATCCTGCCTTGTGACAGCTAATGCAAATGGGGACATTTTGCCTCCATGTGTCGTATACCCATATGTCAGGATCCCTCGACACATCGCTGAGGCTGCACCTAGAGGGAAAGATTGGGTGCTAGGGAGATCATCGAGTGGTTGGATGACCGGCCAAGTTTTTTTTTTTTGCTTTATTGGCAATTCTTTTTTGCCCTGGCTAAAAAAGGAAAAAGTAAAATTTCCTGTTTTGTAATAGATGGGCACAGGAGCCATTTGACACTCAATGTTTGCCGCCTTTGCAGCGAAAATCAAATCCTGCTATACGCACTTCTGCCAAATGCCACCCACATAATACAGCCCCTTGACGTCTCTGTCTTTCGGCCTCTCAAGGCAGGGTGAAGGACCTTGGTTGAGGACTGGAATGAAAAATAAAAAAAACAAAGTAATAAGCAGGGCACAGTTCCTTAGCCTATTTGCCGTTGTTATATCAGAAAAGGCTACTCCCAAAGTGATCCAGAATGGGTTTAGAAAGTGTGGCATCTATCCGTTTAATTTAGATGCAATTGATTATACAAAATGTATATCAGATGCCTCAAGAGTTGGTGAAGTTAGTCTACAAAAAAACTTTCTGTCAGCTAAACCAACTGACTTTGGAATAACCCATCTTTTGTATATCGAATCTCTGATGGGAAAGAGCTGAAGAGTTTAGGGCAAAAAAGGGGAAAGAATGGGACGGAGATGAGTCCGCCAAAGAGCTATTTCTCTTATGGCAGAAACATAGAAAAAAATGTTTACTACAATGTGAAGAAGAAAAGATAAGCTGTAGCGGTAGAACAGAAACTCATCAAAGAGCAGACGAAGAGGCCGTAGATGATCCTGCCATAATTGAAGAAGTGGAAGCGGAGGTAGTAGAAGACCTCTCTGGCAAAGAAAGCTCAGATATTGCCCCAGAAAAAGAAAAAAATATCAAACAGAAGAAAAGACTAATGAAACAGGAGAAGAGGCTGAGACAAGAGGAGAAGAAAAGACAGATGAAACAGGAGAAGAGACTGAGACAAGAGAAGAAAAGAGTAATGAAACAGAAGAAAAGACTGAGACAAAAGGAGAAGAAAAGACTAATGAAACAGGAGAAAAAGAGACTGAGACAAGAGGAGAAGAAAAGACTGATACAAAAGGAGAAGAAAAGACTGATTTAGGAATAGAAAACAAACGTACCGTAACTGAAGTAAGCCAATCTGAAATTATGTACCCAAGTACTAGCAGCTACGAGAATCCAAGAGAAGTTTCAACGCCATCAAAAAGTATTGTGAAAACTCTCAAGAAAATTCCTTAGTGTAAGATGAATATCAGCCCAGCATTTGTTTCGAACATTGTGTGGCCGGTTGAATCCCCCAACAAAAATCCAACCAAAGGGACTAAAAAAGAGCGTTTACCACATGCTGCTACATCTCGCAAGTGGTTAAACTACTGGGAAGGAGAGGAAGAAAAGAAGGTAAAAAAAGCTGAAGAAAAAGAGAATAAGAGACAAGAAAGAATTGAAAAAGCAGATTTGAAGAAAAAAGACAAACCAACAAAAACTGGTAAGGCAAAGAAGACCAAGAAAGACTGGATCTGTCCACACTGTAAGGGTAGTTACAACTATGACGTTGGAATGTGCAATGGGCGAGTATGGATAGGGCCAAGCAACGAGTGTAAAAACTGGTTTCATAAAAAATGCATATAAAAAGATTCTTACTGAATTTGGGTTGGATGAAGACAATGTGGAAGATGAGGACACAGAATTTGTGTGTGATATGTGCTATGGAGACACAGATGACGAAATGTACCAAGACTTGTTCGATGGACTTGAAGACAATGATAGTCATTAAATACTTTGTTATTTATTTTACGATGTTAGACCTAAAGAATACAATCAGTGCTCATTAATGTTTTTTTGTAGTCAAGTGACAACATTAAACCTGGTAAATTTAGCCTAAGTAAATGTAAGTTGAGTTGCGTACTTTTATTAAATCCAACAGAAGTTACCTAGCCTATGTAACGGGAGTTGGGTACCTCATGTGATTTTTTTGGCTAAATTACATAAAAAAATATAGGCCTAATGCATTAAGGACAATCTATTTGTAAATAAAATTTTATGGTTGGTTACTAATTTATTTTTATTTACCTACCTATATTGGCCGTGTTACCTCAGTAGGCACAATTTTTCTTGTTTAAATATAACTGATCAATTAATTACTGGCTATTACAGTATATCAATTAATGGCCTCACCCAATTAATCACTGGCACTTAAATTATTTGTAATTTGTTTATTTTTTAAATAATACTTACTAAAATTAAAACGGGATTTGCCATATATCAAAAGAATTGCAATAAAAAAAAAAAAAACTAGGGTAAACATACCAATAGTGGACATCAAGCCAGTAGTGGACACCCCATCAGGTTTTTTAGGAATATTTCCTAACCTATAATTGGTTTATCCACCCTTTCTTTACCACTTAACGTAAGTTAGTAACCAATCATATGATGTCATCATAAGTTGTCCAGCTGATCAGTTTTGGAGGGAAGAGTAAGATATTCTACATGACATCACAGTTCGTCCTCCTTTACTTTCAAAATTAGGTAAGTAAGTGTTTTAGGTATTAAGTTATATATTATAAGTAATTGTAAGTATATTATAAGTAACACTCTAAAGAGTGTATAAATGTGTTTTTATTATTTATTTATCATGTAATAAGCTAACAAAGTTATTTGCTTTCAAATGGCACCCAATAATTTTTATTGTGGGAGTCCTCTACTAACTTACAATTCTAGTGAAATTTTAATAGTGGACACTCTTATGTCCACCTCTCAAATAAAGAATTCTATAGTGGACACCTTGGTTAATCACTTTAAAAACTTCCAACTACATACATTGTTTTTTTAAAATTTCTTATGTTTTTTGTAATAATAAATATATGAAGATATTATTATTAAAGTCTCATGATCTCTGAATAAAAAATCACCAATATTTAGTGTTAATAATCTTGTTTTTCAAGTTCACATACTAACTTTCATAACCCATAAGTAAATCTATAATCCCTCTTAAATAAGCTAATAATATTAAAAGAGTGCCTTCTTTGTTATTATTTTCAAATTACATTATAATGAGACTTTATAATATTAATTTTTCTATTAATTGGTTTATTAGAAACCTTTAAGTTATAGTTTTAGCTGGGTGTCCACTACCAACTTTCAACTAACGAAGAAAAGCTATTAGTGGACACTACATTTAAGTACTTTGGTATTTTAAGGCAGGCTACTCTTATACAGCACACTGCGGAGGTTATGTTAGGTTAGGTTATTATTATTATGTTTCTAAGGCCTTCCTCTTTAGTTACGAATCAAATAACACACCAGATAAGTTACACTTCTGCTTGCCAAGCCCTCTTTGAACAGGCCAAGGTCGTAAAGGTGTTAGGAGCTTGCACATTAATTGTCAGTGCTTATGCCTGGGCATTGTCGTGCGACAGTACGGCTCATCTGGTATCATTCAGTTTGTACCCAAAACGAGGAAAGTCCTACAAACATATTTAGGCTATAATAACTAAACCTAACTGCCACAGTGGGTTGTGAAAGGGTGAGTTGATCTCCATATTAGCAGCAGCGACGTGTTCAACACAAGTATCGCTGACATCGCCTCCTTCAATGCAATGAGGAAAATTCCTGTCTCAAATAGTGTTATAGTAATATGACCCACCAGATCTTTGTATTTTATTTCTTTTTTCAGAAAAATCAAAGATGAGCGATATTGAAGAGATGACTCAACCTAAGAGGAAGCCAAAAACAAAAAAGATGCCAAAGGCCAAATTAAAAAAGGTCTTTTTCTGTACAACAAAGATAATATGAGTGAAGCTGTAGATGCAGTCAGAAGTGGACATATGAGCATGAAAAAGGCTGCTAAAACATTTGACGTCCCGAGGACATCTTTGATAAGGAAAGTAAGGGGAGAGATTCCTGTTGTTACAAAGATGGGGCCCCAAACTATTTTGACAAAGGAAGAGGAAAACATGTTAGAGACATATATTATCTCTAAAAAAAGGGTCTAAAAAAGGGTTCCCCTCGCACAGAGAGAATATACTGGACAGCGTCGGGAAATTAATGAAGGAGACACAGAGGGAAAATGCTTTCCCTAATGGGACGCCCTGGCATTTCATGGTTCAAGGCATTTTTACAGAGGCACCCAATATATCAGAAAAAGAGTCAGAGTCGTTGACCAAAGCTAGAGCTGCTGTGTCTGAAGAGGGGGTGAACAAATGGTTTGACCATGTTGAAAACTATTTCCAGGAGGAAAAACTACAAAACGTATTAAAAGACCCTTCTTGCATATTTAATGCAGATGAGACTGGGTTCATGTTGTGCCCAAAAACTGGAAAGGTTCTAAGTTAGAAAGGAGAAAGATATTGCTACAAGCAAGTTAGGAACAATGAGAAAGAACAGTTGACCGTTTTGTGTGCATTTTCAGCAGATGGAAAAAAAGTCCCGCCGACAATTGACCCCTACAAGAGAAAATTGCAACGCACCATTGCAGACAATGTTCCAGATGATTGGGGGACTGGTATTTCATCTTCTGGGTGGATGAATGGTGAAGTTTTCTATAGTTACATAGCCAATGCATTTATCCCTTACATTGCTGAAAACAAAATAGAATTGCCTGTTGTATTGTTTGTTGATGGCTATTCATCTCATGTGACTCTTCAAGTTAGTGAGCTGTGTTCTGAAAACCAAATAGTGCTGATTGCCTTACACCCCAACAGCACACATTTTCTACAACCAGCAGATGAGTCTGTTTTTGGACCTTTAAAGAAAAGTTGGAAACAAGTTGTACGTAAGTGGCAGTATGAAAATTACCCCAGTTCAATTACACGCCAAACATTTGCAAAAATATTTCAGGCTGCCTTAGAAAACATCACAGAAGAAACGATCAAAAACGGGTTTAGAACATGTGGAATTTATCCCTTCACGTCAAATGGCATAAACTTTGATAAACTCATCAAGGCCAGAAATATTGAAAAAGTGACAGAAGCAGTTTCATCAGAAGTTCCTAAAAGTTCGCCGAAACCAACAAAGGCAAGTGGAGCTCTTGCTGCAATCGAAAAGTACATTGAGGAAGATCGGTTAATAATGTTTGAAGAGGTTTTTGCATCAAAAAATGAATGGTTTGAGGAACAACCAACAGAAATAAGAGCGACAGAGTTATACCAAGTTTGGCGAGCTTTAAAAAATGAAGCAATATGGGAGCACTCTGATTCCACAAGTTGTCTGATTAACACTGGTATACCCCAGAGCAGTTGTAGCAATCCTCTCTCAGAGGGTTCTGATGTTCCAATGATGTTCAGCAATGTTTTGTCTTCTGGTGAACCAATAGTTATAAATGTACCTTCGCTTGAAATAGACATAGAATCTGAAGAAGATTTGGAAAATCTCTACAATAATGAAATACCCCTATTTGACATTAAAGAAGTAGAGGTACTTGATGCCTCTGTATGCAATGCTTTTAAAAATTCTGAAACTATTGATCAACCTAAGGCCCTAGATTTAAACGACATTACTATTGAAAATGCATCAGATGAACAAGTACCTAGTACATCATCTTCAAGTAATCAAATTGGGCACAAGAAGAAGTTTTCTAATGTAAGCCCTTTCAAAAATTGTCCGTTATGGCCCAAAACACCACCAAAAAAAGGGCCTTCTAGATCCTCTCGCCGAAAATTGTTTCCCGTGGTAAGTGAAATAAAACATAGCAACATGTCAATCCGAACATAGCCTGCATACCAGTCAAGCTATATTTTCAAGACAACTACAGTATTAGCATGGTTTTAGTTTCTGGTTTTATAAACTAGGCCTCTATTGGTTTTTATAATAAATTTGCTAAAAAAAGTAGGTTGGGGAAGCTGTTGTACCCGGGACCCAATGTACCCAAGTCCTAGTGCTTATTACAACACCATCTGTTGAGGAAATTCTAAACTGTTACTAATAGATTTAGTATTGCCACCAGAGGTCTCAAAAATCCTCTCCTTTCTTACTTGCTGCCATGTGTAAGCCAGAGAGAAAAACACAAATTTTCAACTGCAAATCGTAAGTAATTTTTCAGATTAATATTACTTTATATTCTTTTAGTGCTATAAATTTGATCAGAACAAAGGATCTACTGGGTAA